AAACTTACCTCTTACTCACCGGGGTATGAGGCAGAAGCTCAGCTTGTTCATTTTAGCAGAAACATATACAATGGGCTAATTGCGAATCGAACCTAGAATGCTATTATTGGAGATCTATAAACTTGACAGGGGGAAGTCTAGAGAAGAGGAACGCGGAACTTAGCCTTCGGGAAAAGACTCTCACAATAGATACTCACGTTAATCACTTTTGTAACACTTTGCATAAAACCCTTTAAAACCTATATGCAACTCATAAAACTCCCTGGAGATGTTTGCGAAAGCATTTTAAATCAACTAGATCAAGTACTCACAGTACCATAAAATGACCATCTGGAGCCGAAAGTGATGAAATATGCAGCCTCTGCTTCAAATTCATCATCACCTAAAACAGTACAAATACTTTCTAACTCTGAAATTACTCATCCTTATAATAGTGAAATGGGACAAGGTGCTCCTCAGTGGCTCAGTGGGAAGTCTTCAGTCATGATGCTAAAAATTGGATTTTGATTTCCCTGATGAGCAGAGCACATAACACATTGTGTTTAACAACAACTAAGCCAAACTAGAACGGGGATATTAGCCTGTCTTTACAACAAAAGTATGACTTTCAAAGTGCTGTAACCAAGATATAACTTAGCACCCCATACCATTCCAGCATTGTTTTCTCAATCAGTGCTGTCTCTCTCTATCTTATGCTTAAACTGCATTTGTCAGTAAAGTACCAGTAAAGTACTAAGCATGATTTATTTCTGAATTACTCAAATTCTCGAAAACTGAGACTTTGTGAATTCACTAGATCAGAAAAAAAAAGTGTTTCTCTTTGGTATTTTTTGTTTCTCTGTGGTATTTGCAGGTGAAACTGATTTCTCGACAAGTTTGTTTATAAATTAATAATTCCATTGTTGTGGATTGTAAATACTTAATGCTCTTAAGCAGCTGCACCTCGATGTAACAGGTTTGTTTATTCATTCTATTCTTGTAGGTTGTAAAGACCTAATATTCTTAAGCAGCTGCACTTTGTTGCGACAGGTTTGTTTATACGACAGAATCTTTAGCCATAGAAGAATAATTAAGTAAAGAAGCAACTTTGGAGATGGATACTAGGATAATAATGAAAGATGTTTATTATCGATACTTGTAGACATAATTACAATGATTCATTCACTTTATAAGATTACTTTGTAAATCAGTCTTGTTGACCTTAACAAACTACTTTTTCTGTATAGACAATGTTCTCTCATTAGGCTTGAGTTACTCCTATCTTCTAAATTGCACTTTACCTGTGAATCAATTTATCTGAGGCATTTTAATATTTACTTAATATTACCCACACATGTTTATATACTGGAACATTCAGAGTGTCAATATATTTTTCAAAAGCTTTTTTGTTTTTTTATTTTTTCAGTTTAAAGAAAGAGTGTATTAATTTTATAGCTATGATATATATTCTGTCCCTTAAAAAATTTTTTTGGTGTTTTTTACACCTACTGGTAGTGCTCTCGAACAAAGTAAGGGAAAAGGTTTGGAAACTTTGTATTTCATACTCTTTGTGGATATTTAGCTACATGACAGAGTAGCCATGCCAGTAAGCTTAAATTACTTCAAATTTTGAAGTGCCAAGTAAAGTGAGATTAAAAGTAAAAACAAAAAATCAAAAGTGAATATAAGAAATACTGAATTTTGGAATTTAACATTAAAAAAAAGACAAAAGTATGAAGTCCCAAGGTATGATAAAACATAAATCACACATAAAGGATATAAACATATGGATATACATGCTATACACTATTGTGATCAAAACCATCTGATTATTTCCTCTTCATCAAAATATATCTTGAGTGGTTAACAATAGATCAGCTTATTAAGTTTGGATTAGCAGAAGGATCAGATAATGTGCACAGATAATAGTATAATTTTGTCACCATCTACCAACATATACAAAAATCACCTGATCATTTTCAATAAGCTAAATAATCCATAAATTTGTTAATAAATCAGACTACAAGAAGAAAAGCTGGCACATTTTTCTCTTCAAAACCCACTGCAATACCCAAATACTTAAGTTCAGGTGTGTCAGAACTTTTGCTCGCCAGTAAAATTCGAAATCCAAAACATCTTATTTTCATGTCTCATTGCTGTTCATTATAAACTAATGTATTACTTAAAGGCAATATTTTTTCACATATGGCAAGAAAGTAGAAGTTTACACCCGTCATAATTTCTAAATCCCTTTCCAAAGTAAGATTGAATTTGTTTTTATCAAATGAAATTTTACTAAACACGTAAAAATTAATTTGGAATGTGTAAAATAGCACCTAAATACTTGGTATTAATGGTAAATCTTATCAAGATATTCTGTTCTTCTGTCATGCATAAACATTTATACAGAGATCTTAACTTATATTAAAAAGGCACATGGTCTGTGGTTTAATTTGTGTATTAGATGTCAAGTGCCCTTCTTAGTTTTAGGTGAAAAATATTCAGAGTGTGTGTAAGAACTGAAACAAATCAATATAGATCAAACAAACATACTTTATCCAAATATAACAGAAATACAAAATAAATATTTATTTATTAGTAATAATTATTTCTTACAATACTTCCTGAATTCATTTACTGTTACGACAGCGGAAGTCACGTGACACTAGTAACACCTCATGATATTCTCGAAGGTTCGTGAATGCTCGAGTGTTTACTAGAGGTGCGGTA